ACTCCACAGCTTAGAGGGAGCATCGGTCACCAGGCCAGGCTTATTGGAAGCGCTGAGCTACTGGAGCCCTGTCGGGGGCTTGCGGGTTCTGGAGTAGGACACGAGGCAAACCGGGCCTTTGTAGCCATCCCTTTCCAACCTGTTATTCAGCTCGGCTCTTGCGGCTTCCGGATTGTGTAACATCTGCGTACACCTCATCTGGCCTTTCATTCAAGTAGCCAACGCTACCTTGGAAGAGACTGCCAGAATAAATCAAGAGTGGCCCCGATTTGAACGCACTCAGCGAGACAACTCTATTCTATAGCTCCCGCCTGAGCCTTAATCGAGTCCTTACCCGGGTGGTCGTAACGCCACTTTGGTATTTTGGCGCTCAGCGGTAATCCTTACGGAAGGCCCCACAGAACGGAAATCGGTACTAACATCATGCCAAGTTAGTCCACGACCAAGGTAAGAGTTCAGTCTGGACCAACGCTCCCTCCAAGCTGTGGAGTCTTGTGAGCAAAAAAGCTACTTTCTGAGCTGCTGGCACTGAAGTTGTGAGCGAGCGGTTTGGCTGCTGCGTAAATTAGTTTGCTCTGGAGCCGTCCTTCCTGAGCCAAGACAAAAACGTGTGAGCCGGAGAAGGCTACAAAACTGAGAGCTAGCTCACACTAACTCAGCTTAGAGGGAACACTGGCCTGGACAGCCAGCCTCGGCCACTACACAACCTTAGTGCATTTTTCTACACAAGACCCTGACAGTGAGATACGTAACCACAGCTCCTGTGAGAACCTCTGTCTACCTGACCCTACGGAAGCTTAACAGGACTGCAGCTCAGTTCGGGACGGTGCCGGAGCCATCTAATCAGCACCTGGTCATCTGACCAGGCGGTGACCCCTGACACACCTCCTGCCCTCATTCCACCCGGCCTGGACAGACACCTGAAATTCAAAGCATCATGTGATGTTCAGCAGCACCTGAGCACTGACCGGTGTTCCCTCTAAGCTAAGTTGGTGTGAGCTAGCTCACAGTTCTGGCCCACACCTTTTTGTCCCAGCTCAGGAAGGATGGGCTCCAGAGCAAACCAACTGATGCAGCAGCCAAATGGCTCGCTCACAGTTTTGATGCCAGGAGCTCACAAAGTAGAATTTTTGCTCACGAGACTCCGCAGCTTGGAGAGCACTCTGGCACGGACTATGCACCTCCACTGACCAGGGAACGGAGCTGCAAGGGATATCCTCGGACAGGGCCCCAGCAATGCTCCCTTCTAAGCTGTGGAGTCTTGTGAGCAAAAATTCTACTTTCTGAGCTACCGGCATTACAGTTGTGAGCGAGCGATTTGGCTACTGGATAAATCATTTGGCTCTGGAGCTTGGAGCTGAGGCAAAAGGTGTGAGAGCCGGAGGCTAAAAAACTGTGAGCTGGCTCCCACTAACTCTGCTTAGAGGGAACACCGGGCCCCGGCAACCCCAGAAGGTTCAGTCCGCAGTTCCCGCCACACAAGCCAAGCCCCCAGCAGCGCACATATGAGCTACCGCACCCGGTCTATGGCTCCTACGAAGCCGGCAGCGCTCGCCAGCTGCACGAATCAGGAAAACAACCCTGACCCACACCGTTGGGTGAGCTGGCAGGGCCCTGCTTTGTTGACTAACCGCCGTCTTCCTTCTCGCCCGCATTCCATTCCAACCACCACACGCTGGAAGCCACCTCACCTAATTGCACCGATTGCTCCACAATAGGTTGGGCTCACCTGACGACAAGAGGAAAGGTAAGCCCCCAAAGTCATTGTTGGGCCTGGAGTGCCACTTCTGGAAGCACCGCGGCAAGCTGTGGCTTAACCCAACCGCCACTAGGGGAGGGCGCGCAGGCAAAGCCGCTAAAAAGTCCTCAATGGGCTTTCTTATGGGGAAAGGAGTCAGTGCTAAGTCTCCAACAGTCAGGTCACTCTCCAGTTTCCCGCCCCAAACACAGACAGAAGAAGAGAAGGGTGGGGGGCTCAGTTGTGGAACATATGTTTTGTAGGCAGAGGGTCCCAAGCTCAATTCCCACCCCCACCCCCCATCGCCTGCTGAAACGAGCAGATAGGAGGTGACGGGAACAAGACCACAGAGATGCTGCCTGCCAGAGAATCCCGCGCTGAGCTTGATAAAACTGTGGCCAGACTCGGGTTAAGGGAGAACAAAACCTCAGAAGTGGATCTGGCCAGCGCGCCATCTAATCCAACATCCCTGTTCACAAAGGGGCTAACAAAGGAATGGCACCCAAGACCAGTGTTCCCTCTAAGCTGAGTGAGTGTGAGCTTCTTCTAGCCTCCGACTCACACATTTTTGTCTTGGCTCAGGAAGGAGGGCTCCAGAGCAAACTCATTTATGCAGTAGCCAAATCACTTGCTCACAACTTTCATGCCAGGGCTCACAAAGTAGAATTTTTGCTCACAGAACTCCACAGCTTAGAGCAGTGGTGGCGAACCTATGGCACGGGGGCCAGAGGTGGCACTTAGAGCCCTCTCTGTGGGCACGCGTGCCATCGCCCCAGCCAGGCCCAGACCATGATTAAAGTATCAAATTTTCTGCAAAATAATTTTAAGTAAATGAAAGCATTTGGGATCGCTTTCCTTACTTTGTTTGGATCATCTTATGTATGAGTTGTTTGTTCTAAAGTACAACCTCGGTATTCAAGTTAAATTGCCGTGTTGGCACTTTGCGATAAATAAGTGGGTTTTGGGTCACAGTTTGGGCACTTGGTCTCTAAAAGGTTCGCCATCACTGGCTTAGAGGAAGCATTGCCCAAGACCCTTCCCCAATGTTGCCACCCAGCAGTGCCAATCAGAAGTCCTGGACACGGAGACGCCCCTTAAGTCATCCTGGCGAGCCACCACTGATGGACATAAGAACGTAAGAGAAGCCAAAGTTGGACCAGACCAATGGCCCATCTAGTCCAACACTCTGTCACACAGTGGCCACAAATACCAGGGGCCATCAGGAGGTCCAGCAGTCGGGCCAGGGACCAACTCTTCAGCTTCCGAAGCGGGTTTCTCAAGCACAACCTAGTGATTTCTCCTGTGAAATAATCATTCTGGTGGCCTACAGAACAAGTCGTGTTGAAGAAAAGACCTTCCCCCCAGATAACAGAAACCCAGAGCAGGATACCCACTGCAAGCCAACTGGTCCACTAAAGACGAACGTTGCAAACGCAGCATAACAAATTATTTCTTCCAAGCACTGAGAGTGTGCCAATTCTCATCCCCACTGCTAAGAAATAACCAGAGGCTTCTGTCATCTACGTTCTGGACACCAAACGGTTTGCGATTCGTCGGACGCCTCTGCAAAACCTCCCTTTTATTTTGAAGCCAATATGGATAAGCGCAGGTCTGCCACCCAACTGCAGGGCCACCCCCCCCCCAAGTCAGTCACTGAAACACGAAGGCTTCAGGACCTAAAGAGGAACCCCTCTTAAGAAACCAAGGGAACCTATCCCCACCAGAAGCCACACAGGTAGACCAAGCGGGACACACCGACCCAAACGTCACCTCGACGGCCTCAAAGTGAAGCAAGCCAAAGCCGTTTTAAGGGGACCGTGTTGACAAGCCTCAATCCCAGAGTAACAGGAAGTCGTGTTTCGCAAAATCCCCATGTCCCCCACAGGAAGAAGCCCCGTGAAAGTTGTCAGCCACTTCCACAAGACAGGAAGGGGAGTCACAGGTGGGACGTGTGCCAGGAAAAAAGCTTCATCGCCCCACACTGAGCTACGTACTGCAGGGAAACCCACCTTTGCATATAAAAACCACCACCTTCAACAGAAGTGCCAATGTTGTCTTCCTGACCTGAGCTACTCTCTCTCGAGTGGATGTAGGCGGTCTCTAGGGCAGGGACCCCTACCCTGAGAGAGGGAAACAGAAGGAGCCTCGGCCCCCAGTGACCTCCAACCCCACCAGGCCCCCAAACTCCCTTTCTACTCTGCATTAAATCCTCACTCTCGTACATTAGCACCCCACTTTCCAGGAGCAGCCAACATTCCCCCACAACCTGTGAGGTGGGCAACACTGAGAGAGACTGAAAAGTGACCAAGGAAGCTTCATGACGGAGGGAGGGTTTGACCCCAAGCGTCCCAGATCCAAGCCCAATGCTCTAGCAGCTACAGCGTACTAGTGTTTGCCCCCCCCCCCGGTGCCCGTTTGGGGTATTGGTTATTCCGGTGCCAGTTTGGTGTAGTGGTTAGACTGGGCGAACCGGGTTTGATTCCCCACTCCTCCACATGCACCCAGCTGGGTGATCTTGGGCCAGTCATAAGTTCACTCAGAGCTGTAAGCCGCTCTGAGACTCCGAGTGAAGGGCAGGGTATAAATCCGATCTCTTCTTCTTCTTCTTCTTCACCCTCTTCAACGACTGTCACTGAGCACTGGTACCAAACCACCATCCAACTGTGCATACACCAGCCACCAGGACAAGGCCCAATGTTCTAGATCCTTCTTAGGGAGGGCGTGTGGCCCTGCTACGCCTACCCACCCACCCAGCTGTTATTGCGCCCCACGTGAGCGATCGGCCACTGTCACCATTCCCTGCTTCAACAATCACAACAGCGCACAGGACTGTCCAGGAGCCCCCACGGACAGAGCAGGACAGCAAGCTTTCTCGACCCTTCAAATGCACAGTTGCTGCAAAATACGGGGATGGCCAAGACAAATGCAGGCTCATCCCCACTGTGCGCTGGTCTCATCAAGCCTTGAAAAAGGAATGCAAGCACAACCCTTAACAAACCCTACCGAAACCCACCCAAACCAAGTGCAACCTATTATGGGCCTAGCTGTAGGAAGCATTGCCCTAGCAGAGCAAGGCTTGTCTGTTAGAGAAATCAAAATCCGATGATACCCTCCTGCCCCACTCCTGTTACATTAACACCGAACAGCTGGACAAGAGAAAGCACGTTGTGCCTTTTTAAGCGGGTTTTCATGCAATGGGGGGGCATGCAAGACAAGGAAGTCTTCCTCCACCTTCCCCCACCCCCCACGCTAACCTCCTCACCTTTGTAGAGGTTGGTGACGGCGGTGGCTGCGTTCTGGAAGGGGACCCAGAGGGAGAGGCCCGGCTGCTGGCAGACACGATCTGTGCGGCGGGTTGGGGGGGGGGAGGAGAGAGACAAAAAGGAGAACACAAATCAACCTCGGCGCACACCCTGCGTATAAATAAACACACATACACACACACACACAAGCATGCACGCACACCTCCCTCTCCGTGGGCCTCCCGATGTGTCACTCAGGGCGGCCGCCCGCCGCTGCTTCCGCCCTCCCTCCCTCGGCCATGATGGGCTTCGCCATTTTGTTCTGTGCCGCCCGGACGCAGGAGGAGGAAGAAGACATAGGGGAGACTTGATATATTGGGGGGGGG